CAAAAACAAACCATGCAACACACCAACCAACCAACCAACCAACCAAATAACAAACCAAGCAACGCACCAACCAACCAACCAACCAACCAACCAAAAACAAACCAAGCAACGGACCAACCAACCAACAAAACAACCAACAACCAAACAAACCAAGAAACAAACCAACAACAAACCAACCAACCAAGAAACCAAGAAACCAACAACCAACCAAGCAACCAACCAACCAAGCAACCAACCAACAACCCAATCCAAGAAACTAAGAAACAAACAAACCAACAAACAACCCAACAAACCAAGCAACGGATCAACAAACCAACAAACCAACCAAGAAACCAACCAACAAACCAACCAATCAACCAACAAACCAACAAACCAAAACAAACCAAGCAACAAACCAAAAAAACAACAAACAAACCAACCAAGAAACCAACAAACAACAAATTAACCAACCAACAAACCAAGAAACCAACCAACTAACAAACAAATTAGTCGGTGTGATAAACTAAACTTAACATTTCTCATTCTTTTACAAATGTACACAAGATATAAATAATTTTGAAAAAAATACATCTAATATATGAACAATTATTATTATAATTACAGTCACATATAAAGGTATTTACAAAAGATATACACAATGTTAGAAAACAAAGTACATCTAAAATAACATAATATACAAAATACAGAATGATATAAAATTATTTACAAAAGATATACACAAAGTTAGAAAACAAAATACATCCTAAAATAACATAATGTACAAAAGACACAAACCATCGCAATCAAATCAAAATCAAATCAAATCAACAAACTAACTAACCAACCAACCAACCAAGAATAAACCAACCAACCACCCAACCAACCACCCAACCAACCAACCAACCAACCTACCAACCAACCGACCTACCAACCCAACCAACCAACCAACCTACCAACCAACCAACCTACCAACCAACCAACCAACCAACCAACCAACCAACCAACCAACCAACCAACCAACCAACCAACCAACCAACCAACCAACCAACCAACAGACTATTATATATAGCCAAGAGACTGGGAAACATGCGTCTGGCTCAAATACCATGTGTCGTTCACACACACACACACGGGGGTTTGGCTTCTGTAATCAAACAACCATCTGTATCATATCAACACTTACCACTCTCACTCCAAACAGGACTGAAGGCCCGCGGCCTCCAGATCTCAAGGTCGGCTGCCCCCGGTGTGGCGAGGCGCTGTCTTGCCGCTGGTGGTGGTGGCGGCAAGACAGGTGCTGCAGGTCGGGTCGCGGGTGGCGGCGGTGCTGCGGGTACCGCTGCGCTGCTGGTGATGGCGGCGGCAGTGGGGTACTAAGGCCGCTGGTGGTGGTGGCGGCGGCAGTGGGGAGGGGGGCCCTAAAGCCGTACCTGGGATCCCGGTCTGTTAGAAAAACACATGAAGGAGACACATTTAGGAGGGCCTTTATTAATGGGGCAGACTGAACAAAGCACTTACCAGTTAAACAGTTACTACTACTACAAATTGGCTAGCTTACACATGTATGATGGCTTTATTAAAAATGTAACTTTTAGGTGTTAAATACAAACCACCTGTTAATTCTGCAGCAGCTGGGCAAATTTTTATACAGTGTCATGACAGATAAAAATATCAAAGCAGTCTATCAACTTACGAAACCAATCCGGCTTGCGCTTCACCCGGTCACTTCTCCGCAGCTGACCTGCTTCTGGTGGTACTGTTGGTGATTTAAAGAAAAGAATGAGTTACTAAAGGGCACATTCTCTTCAGTCTTGTCGTCCAACAGTCTTCAGTCTTGTCGTCAGGGCACATTATTGTGATGTCAAATGTATGTATTAGTTGATTAGCATAGCATAAATTTCAAAGTTCATCTGTGTTGGTACAATTATTTACATCGAAGTTTGTGTACATACATACAATGTATTCCACTTGTTAAAATGGCTGGGATTTTGTTACAAGAGGACCGATCCATAACTAGCGCCATCTAGCGAACCTCTGAAACATTTGCGGGAAATTTGAAATAACAAGCGATAAAGTCCACATAAAACCGGAAACTTCAACGTCAACAATCTAAAGCAAGTAGGTTTTCGTCCGGTGGCCATTTCATTTCATTTTGGAAGTAGCCAGTTTTCAAGATTACGCTACGAAATTTCAGGGAGTTTCGTGGCGTACTTTTTCTGCTACATGTATTATTTACACTATTGTTTACCAATCTGAGAAATGGCTTCGATAGTTTCAGATGGTAACGAATGTTTACGAGACGGAAGTTAGTGTTCCTTTCTTCAAGAAGCACTCGAGTCTGGTATATCCCGGTTTTAGTGACACTCTTCCAAATCGGCATGAATAAGCCAGGGTTTCTGTTGATGAGATTCGTTCTATGGGCAAGATTAAACTGTGTAGCGAACAATACTGAAAATATGATCGGGCTCACCGTTGTTATTGTTCCTCGCCATTTTCTCCAAAACGTCGAATTCAAAGCAAAGCAAGGCAAAGCAATGAGATTACGATGAGAGCAGATTGCGCGTGTAGAACAGCATCAGAATGAGCTCATCAGGCCCCGTGCGCATATATATACGCTCTGTCGCGACGTACGGCGAGACACTACGTCTAGACGACGTCTGGCTGGCAGGGGGCTTCGCGGGTCTAGACACTACGTCTAGACGACGTCTGGCTGGCAGGGGGCTTCCGGGAGAAGTGGAGAACTAGACACGGACTTTCATACACTGGATTAGTAACAATAAGCAGAGCGGGAGCACGAACGTTGACGGCAACAGCGCACCCTATTATATAAACATGCCAGAGCCATGACATTACTTTGATGTTGGGCATCAAGGAGAAGAAGAAAACATGGAGGTCAGGAAGAAGCAATGACAGAGAGTACTAACTGTATGAGGCTACGACGACTTTCTTTGGTGCATACCTCCATTTTTGGAGGCAGTGGCTAGTTGTTCCAATGTCTATCTAACGACAAACTACAACAAGTGTAGTTGACATCCTCCATGTTGGATTACAGTGCATGTCTGTTCAACATGCCAGTTTTCCCGCCAACACCTGGTCGTCGAGATTCATATGATAATTATTTTGACATAAATGAAAAGCCTTTAAGTACACTGTAATCCAACATGGCGCATGTGAAAGCCTGTTTGCTTCCACAGTCTGAATTGATAAGGTTTTTATAAGGCCCATTTTGAACTTCTGGGTGGGCAGTAATTCCGATCTTACTGATTAATACAACAAACTTGCGTGGCGGTTCCTTATTTGACGTTTATATGATTGCACACTGATGTCTTACTGGTGAATATTTAGTTCGACTCAAGTTGTTGACTGCAAAGGAGCCCTTAGAAACATATTTGGCGAAGGTATGAGACTGTGGAACTCTACTTTACACTTGTCAAATTATATATACAGCATTGTGTTCTTGAATGAATGAGTGAATAAGTGTAGTTGATTTGATTATACAACATCATGTCATTTGTCCTTACTCAGCAGTCTTAACAAAGATGGTACTGTTTGGGCTGTTTTGATATCGAGTAGTGCAGCAGGGTGCAAGAGGTGGTGTGGTGAAGACATATTGCTTTCTCTTATGTTTCTTCTTCTTCTTCTCCTCCTGCCATTTCTTTAATTCAACTCAACCATTTTTCAGTCAAATGACCTGATATTTGGCATGGAGGTAAAGTGAGCAAATACCCTACACGTTTTTTTTTCTTTTTTTTTAAACACGCCTTTAAAATCGTTTTATTTGTTTGTTTTTTTGGCCATTTTCAGGCCAAAAACATACATTTTGTGACATGGAGCCCTGGTACTAAATGATAAAACTAAATGACCTGAAATTTGGTATGGGGATACCCAGGACACGTCTACAGAATGGCATTCAAGCTTTTGACAATTACGCCACTTCAAAGTTGTGTAAAATAGTTTTTGTTGGCTATTTCAAGACCAAAAATGTACATTTTTGGCTCCTGTGCCAAATGACCTGAAATTTGGCATGGGGGATCCTTGGATACAATCCCGTTGAACGTTATTTACGCTTCTGGAGTGTGTAACTTTAGAAGTATGTAAAATGGGATTTTTTTGGCTATTTTTGACCAAAAATGTAAACTTTTGACTCCTAAGCACTAATACGAAAACCAAATGACCTGAAATCCAGCATAACGGTAGCTTGGTACCGAATGCTTAGACTATTAAGAGCGAATGTCTGTAAGGATCAAACAATGGTGGCACCGGTCAAAAAATCGATTTGGCTCATTTTTTGCACAGTGATAGTACTTGGTACATAACCCCTCAGAATAGCTTTCTTTTTGCTCAGAACCCCTTGTTGCCATGGCAACGGGCCAAAGAAGTTTTCAGGGCATTTGTCCAGATTTTGGCATGTACAAAACATAGAAATTGGCTAACTTTAGGGCACTATAACTGATCAGTGCTTTAGCGTAACGACAAGAGCAAGATGTGCTGATCAGAGCAATGCCTAAACTTGTATAAAATAGCAGTAAAGCCAATGTGCAGTAAAATCTGAGGTCTTGGGCACTCTGAATACAATGCACTGTTTTAAGGGTGTAAAAAAACTGAAATTTTGCCCAACTT